GATGAAATGAGGCGGGGACTTGACCTTTTTCCCAGAATGCCTTGGAAAACACACTGCAGCGTTCGATAAGCCTCATTTTGAGGCTTCCCTTGAGTGTAACACTGGTGTGTTCACGGAAGCTAATCGAACGCACCGAATAACCGTTAACCCTGGTGATGGACTGGCAGTGATATATATAGTGTACATATACACCATTTGGGATCGCCGGATAATGTGGACTTAGTTGACTTAGTGAGTGAATTAAGTCAAGCTGTGAAATCGCTGTCCCTGCTATTCGTTTTTTTCTGTATTATTCCGTTATTCTGAAGAAAACGGGAATTTTGAATTCCCTAGCGAACCGGACGAACGGTCTTCGGAAAAACACTCGTTTGAATTACTGCGAAGCTGTATAAGGGACATAGTGAAACCTCTCTCCTTGAACTAACTCGTGTTACCAGTTGTACCTAGTCGTCAGAGATGTCTTACCTATACGACTTAAATCTCGTATTTACGACTTGTGAACCATATTCAATTCCGTACTTACGCAACTTGTATGTCGTACGTACAACATGTAAGTCGTACAACCAGTAGATACAACCAGTACGTATGAGACGTGAGATATAAGTCGTACATGAGTTATAAGTCGTACGTGAGTTATAAGTCGCACGGAAGAGATACAGACTAATCAGAGGAGACGTCATAAATTCGGTAGCAACGCACTGACCCGCGCATTCTTAAGGCTTGATGGGCATTCTTAAGCTTCATTTGGCAAATCACGACACCCTATTAGTCGAAGAGGCATGCGATGCGCGCGCACCAGCTGCTCACTAGCGTTGTGCCATTGCAGTAATGGCTTCTAATAAGCCTTTTGCGAGTTACATTCGAATAAAATCTGGCACACTGAGTTACCTGATTGCACATATAAAAACACGACAATTTAAATTCACCAGACCAAAAACACTGTTGCTATACCTCGTGATTCGGGGCAAGCTTTTGCATATCAACCACCATCTCTGGAATGGACTGGTTCCTCGGTGCCCTTCTCATTCATTAAAAAATTGTGTATTGGTGCAAGGCGTCTCTTGTGTAACTGAGCAAAAGCTTACCCCGAATCACGAGGTATAGCAACAGTGTCTTTAGTAAGGAGAATTCTAATTGTAATGTTCACACGAATTTAAAGAACTCGGTGTACCAGACTGTATTGAAATTCAACCCGAGGCTTATTCTAGTCCCCAAATTACCCGATACCTCCTATGTACAAGTTAGCTGAAAGGGGGAAAGAAGTTTATTTCACCGTGTCCCACATATAGAGCTTCCAGTACTCGGTACAGCTAATAGGACTCGATATTTGCACAAACATTGGAATTATATGAAGTCATTACTCAGGGATACAAGCCTTAATAGGCCTAATCTATCGTCAAGGCCGCCAACCCCGGGCGTTGCAGAGATGCACTTGTTTACCCGGAAAAGAAGATAACATCAACATTTACAATAATAAAAACAGCTGTATTTTCAGATGGTAGCCAAGTCATCTAAAAAGAAAGATGGATTTCGATGTGCCATCTATCAATATGAAGCATACATACATACATGTATAAAAATACACAACAATTTAAATGACGCACAAAGACTAAATATAATAATTAGAAGAACAATAATAACGGTAAGCATGAAAAATACGACTTATGGATCAAAAACTATGCCCTTATAAAAATCTGTGCAATACACGCTCTTACAAATCTCATAAAAAAATGGAATTGAACAAGAATCGCATGATTATGGTGCCGGAAACCCTAAACCCTGTACTCTGACATTGGTTATTTGTTTGAATGCGTCACTTTTCTGTACTCCTTAGAAATACCTTCATGTTACTGTCCGGTGTGTTTGTGTTTGGGTGTCGCTCGATTCCGTTGACATGATCACGACAATGCGCTGTTAGAACTAAAGCTTCCTCGTTAAATGGAAGCTGTTCTTAGAATAACAAGGAAATGAAACTGCTTTGTCTGTTCATTTCCTGAACGGCATTTTTTGTTAAAGGACGTGTAGAGAAATGTAAATCTTTCACGTACTCTGAAATTGGCAACATTAGACGTGAATGTTGATTCGTTAAACATGAGGAACTGGTTAACAGCAGCACAGATGTCGCATCTGATAATTCAGTAAAATTGAAGGCCCAGAGAATCCATTCCTGTCATTCTCGCAACCAGTTTCTCTGCACCTACTTCAGCTGTTAACCCTACCGCCAAACTTGTCAAATGTCTCTTTTTAGGATGTATATTATGGCAGTGATTTCCACCGTTTGAACAGTTGTTTTGCATTTTGCAATTTAATCCTCGTTTTTGGCCGCGTAATTATTTTCGGTTTCTCCCCCATGAGGTGCATGACGGAGTCAAAGGGTTGGTAATGTGCCCCGTCCAGGCCCGCCGACAACCCCCCGGGAGCGGTCTGGGCAACAGCTGGGGACGCGGCATAGTTTCCAAATAAATGCCTGGAATGGGTCCCAACTCGTCGCGCCCATGAATCGATCGATTCACTGTGTCTGAATAAAAAGTTTGGTCCAGGTTGTAGTCGATAGCTCCGAAAGGTGGATAGGCTACTATATTTTTGTTGTACTTGCTCCGTACTTTTACTGGAGTCAAAATGTGTTTGATGTTGTCCGAAGAAAAACAGGCAGTTGGAATTTCTTTTCGTGGTTTGCATTGGTAGGGAAAGTGTCGAGTTCGCTCTTCTTTCACTTTTGTAAAACATGCGCCCGTCTCAAGGTAAACCCGCTGCAATAATCGAAAACGAAACGGCCAAACGGTCCAGAGCGTGGAGTTCCTCGAAAACATTAATGCAAACAGGGCACGGCTTGTACTCAGGCGTCGACGTACAAAATGAACCACCTGTCACCATGTTCCGGCAGATCGGCCGGGTGCTGCCCCGTCTGGAACTGCCAACTCGCTATGTTGTTTTTCGGTTCCCTTGCAAATGACGTGAACCCTCTTCAAGGGTAGATCGGGCAATCTGGGCGCATGCACTGTACACGGGTATGTTTATACGCTCAAACTTCATGTATTCAGTAGCTTGTTGACCCACAAGAATTGTTTTTCTTTTTTATGGACTTTCCTTTAAATGCTCTGATTCAACTAAATTGACCTGAATGATAACCTCAAGTGCCAACAAAGCACACTGTTGAAATCATACCACGAAAAAGACAAATTAAACCGAATTCGGCGTATGCACGTATACCGGATGCCCTCGACAAGCGCATGCATTTTTGAGCACTGAATGGTATTTCCATTTCCCAAAACGATTTGAATTTGAGACTGAGTGATCAGATATCCACCGTTTTATTCAGCCACTTAAAACCGAGGAATCGATTGGCCTAAAGCCAACAAATCAATGAATATATCCTCGATACTCGAGATCGAGACGCATGCGCGTTGATATACAGAATGCTCGGTCATAAATCACTGAAGTCCGCGGGTAGTATGTAGTTGTGTGGCGAACGCTTTAGTTGAGCGTCACTTGTCTCGGGGATACGGCCGGTGTGCAATGCGATGCACCCACTGCAGCATTGCTCAAATACAACACTGTTGAAACAGTATAGAGTTGCAGGCTTCCAGGCTGTAAGACATTTTGGTCTTTTGGACGCAAACTACTTTAAAATTTACCGACCTGGATTTCCAAATCGGCCTAGCCGGCAAGATATCAGCATTGAGGTGACTGAGTTCTGTGGCGGTTCGCGTATCGCCGGTACAGTCGAATCCGTCCAACGACTTTGATGTTTCGTCGATCCGGTCAAGTCAGGTGAAAACAAGTGATCAAAACTGAGCACGAAGTGTATTGTCCATTATCAGATACAAGAACCAACATGGATTTACCCGAGAACGCGTCCGAGGAGATCCAGACCACCCCTGGCGACTTAGAGGGGGTTAACGCCATCTTATGGGACTGGTTCTCCATCGTGCAGCTGATCTTGGCTCTAACGGGCCTCTTTGGCAACGTCCTGGTCATCGCGGTGTACCTGAGGAAGCTACGTGTGCGCAGCAACTCCAACAAACTGATCGCCCTGCTGGCGCTGGCGGATCTCCTGACGTCCGTGGCTGCCATCCCGCTGCCTTCCCTGTCCATCGTGCCGTTGACGGCCAGCGGGAGCGCCTACTGTAAGCTGATCCAATCGAAAGTCATCATGTGGATCTCCATCGTGGCGTCGATCTTCACGCTCACTCTCCTGTCTGTGGAGCGTTGCTTTGCCGTGGTGTACCCGATCAAGCACAAGATCGTCTTCCGCAAGGCCAGAATTAAGTACTTCGTGGCCGTAGTCTGGGTGGCGGCCGTCGTTGTGAACTGTGGGAGCTTCTACATCCCGGATGTGGGCCGGCAGAACAGTTGCGTCCTGATGTGGCCCAGTCCGGCCTACCAAGCGTTTCACGGACTCGCCCTCTTCATCTTGGAGTTCATCGGCCCTGTGGCCGTCATGGTGGTGTCGCACTACCTCGCCGTGAAGGGACTCAAGAGGCAAGCCGTGTCCCTCCTGCAGCGGAACAATTCCACCACCTCCCCGGCCTACTCGCTGCTGCAGTCCCGCGGTCGGGTGATCCGCATGGTCCTCATCGTCGTGGTCACCTTCATCATCTGCTGGGCTCCGGACCAGGTCGGCTTCCTGATCCTTAACCTCGGCGGCCTGTCGCACGAATATTTCAACAGCCTCACCTACCGCGCCTTCACCGTCCTGGCCTTCCTCAACTCCTGCATAAACCCCGTCATCTACATCGGGCTGAACAAGAACTTTCGGGTTGCCGTGGTCCAGTTCTTTCCCTGCGCCAGGCGAAAAGTTGGGACCACCCCAGAGGAGGCGACGGGTACCGTCCACCTGCCCAATTCGGCGGGGCGCGCGGCCAGCGGTAGCGGTCCGCCAGCGGCGTCTCCCGACAACAACCCCGGGCCAATTTTCACCATTCATTCCAACAAACAAGTCAAGAAAAATGCCTCCTCTAACATATGTGTCGAATCGTGTTCCTAAAAGAAGGTATTGCTCAAACTGTAAGATCAACTTGTTCCTGCCCAGCATTACAAAATATCGCAAGCTTTGCTGAAAGTTTTTTCTCGAAAAAATTCGTCGCTTTGAAACTTGACACCAAACCACTCTGAGTGAGTATGCATGGTTAGATGTTATCATTCCTGAGGCGCACCATCTTCACTCGAAGAAGCAAACTTACTTCACGTGAATGTTGCACATGTATATCATGCACGAGAATTATTGCCCAAAAATGGAGGGTCAATATGTAAAACCAAAGATTTCGATCCCAGTTTCTAATGAGTCTACTTTCCGTGAGTTTTCCCACAGGCGAAACCCTTGCAGTCATCAAAGAAACAGGTTGGAATTGTGTTTCGAATGGATCTGGTTAATTTCCTTCCTTGCCTTTCCTAGAGAAATGTATCAACTCGATAGCACGAAAGCAAAAACTTATACAAATTAAAAGTTATTGATGTCTTTGAAGACAAGAGTTCGTCGTTGATCCACTGGTCGGTGTGTGATAAACGGAAATGTTTTTCCTCGCAGCTTTTTAAAAAGTTTATCAAATGTTAAATTTTCCTCTTCATTTTCTTTTAACTTGCTGTTTTTTCCAAACATTTATGATAGTATTTTGCATATCCTCATTTTGTGCCTTTAATCTTGCCATTTTCTTTCAACAAACCTGCTAATTTGACTCTTTTTTGTCCTTTCGTGCATCTGTCAAATGCAGAAGGAAATGTTAAACTTGATTCAGATTGTGTTGGGGTGGACAAAGACAGCACTTTATGAAAGTGTCGCGGTTTCTGATTATGAAGTGTCCTATTGTGTTGTGGAGCGCCACATTTTTGACGGCGTTATAATGATCATTTTTAGTAATGAGCACTGCATCATTCCGTGCCGAACATACTTTAAAAAGATTTCCTTGTTTATTAGCTTTTTTGGTCTAAAATCTTTGAAAGAATTGTCACAATTTGAAGTTTGAGGTTGATCAAATTTCAGAAGGCGTTACTGTTACGTTTGAAAACTTTGCATGATTCCATAAGCCAAAAAAAAAAGCCAGAACGGCGGATCGGGGACGCCGAACGAAAGCAGTAGCTAAAAGAACATTCGATTATACTATCGTTGTCAGTAACCGCTGTTTTGGTCGGCGTCATTTATCGTTGGCGGGCACAGCTTAATTAAAGTGAAACGAAAGCTGATTTCAAGGGCAGTCCTTTGAAGGCAGTCACACGTGAGCAGAGTTGTTTTGATTGGCCTGACTGTGCTCTTGATAGCTTCTAATATTAATCGGAAAAGTGCCCTGCAGAATCAATGAAGCATTCTCGTGTCAAAAATTGGTCATTGTGTTCATTGCATTTAATTTCCTACTTCGACCCGAGGAATTTGAATCGTATTAAGACTGTCCTTTCAAATGCCTCTTTGTGTCCCACTTAATTTTATATCGTCGGTTAGTGCTAAAAGGTCATTACGGCAAATATCTAATTTTTGAAAATGAGTGCTTTATCCTGAGCACGAAGAAACACTTTATTGAAACAGACAACATTTTCCTTTATTTATAAAACTAGTTTCTTGGGGCCAATATATTTTAAAGTTCCACCAATTTTAGTGCAATTTTTCACTAAGGACCTTTTAGCACTGACACGACGAATTGTACAAATGGTTGCAAGTTTCCATGGTATTTTGGTGTATTTTGTATTCTTGTAAACTCTGATAATTTAACTGCATGCCATTAGTTAATACTCACGTAATCACTAATTAATTAGTCTCGAGCACGATGTGATATCATGCACGGCAGGAACAGTGTCACGCCCGTTGTCCTAAAATTTGCCAGACCATGGGATCTTTCATTTGCTTTCGACGTTTTCATGAGAAAAGTTGGGTTTTAACGTCGAAGAGAAATACATACAAACCGAACAGTGTCTTTCTGCATGATATCGAACAACATCGCCGTCGTCTCTCCCTTGGAGAAACCTGGACAACGTTAAATGTTTAAAGACTGCACTTTCCAAAACACCCACCCGCAGAAGATTGAACAAGAGTATAAATTTGTATAAAATGTCCGTGTCAGAAGAGAAATCATCACGTGGACTTCTTGATAACTACTCTGCATTCGTTATCGAGCGCCATTGATCCATAGCGCAAGTGTGCCGTATGTTGACCTGCACGATGCCCGTTGTCTATACAGTCGATATTGTTCGTGTCGGTAATACCAGCATATTCGTCAGAGTCAGTGTTGTTAAGCTGTAAGCGGCAATGAAACTAAATTACCAATGCATGCTTGTTTGGACTGTGCAAAAATACATATACATGGAACTTTGTAATTCGTTTGCGAATGTTATTAAAGTAAATGGACCATAAACTCTGAACTGTTATCTGGTTGTGAGTTGGTCAGTTGTGTGGGTCTGTCAAAACACTGCCGACTCTACAAGTTATAATGAACCAAATTACAAAAGGTTGTATTATTTCGCTATTTTGTGGATTGGCGGCTACTTGTATTAAGATGTGTACATACTTTCAATTTCTTTCCCACGATTACTAGAGACTTCACTTTCAAAAGAAAAGTACGTTTTTTCTCTCGTTTTTATACTTTTTTCTTAAAGAAAAAAAAAAGCAAAATTTGTTGTTTTTTTTTCACTTTTCTTGATCAGAATTTGGAAATTTAAACATAAATGGTGTCAGAACCAACAAACGATCAATAGTGGAAAGGGTTCAATTCCTCGGTTTTTCCGATCAAATCTTTTTCGTTTTCATTTTCTTATTTATTTTATTCCATTTTTCTACATTTTTTTTGTCCTTAATGGGGCAAGCGTTTCCCCCTAGTGACGCCCACTGTATGGCCACTGACCGCTCAGTGGATTAGGGTTTGCCATCCTCATCTGGCTGCGCGAATATCCCTTATTGTATTGTATTGAAATAGCTCGGGGGGTCCTTTTTTTGGTCGTCTCAGCTTCGAACGAAAAGAACGAAAAATGAAATCTGTCTCCAAAACCATGAGAAATTGTTAAATGTAAAAAAAGAACCATAGTTATACGTGATTCAGAAATTGTATTCTTGAATACTCGTCTCCCACTTGTATCACTATCGTACGATCTGGACACTCCATTGGAAAGGGGTGGAGCCGCACCGAAAAGGGAGGGGGCTACTTTATTGAGTTCATTCTGTCTTGTCCTTCTTCAGTTAGTTGGTTTTTTGTGGGGGGAGGCAATACGCTGTTTTATACAGGCACTCTTAATTGCCTTATTTCCCTCATCTGAATCGTAAGAGGTCGCTTCCTCCTCTTGCTGGTTCGGGCGGCCTGTTCTTGACACGGGTTTCTTGTTCTCGCGCTCAAACGGCGGGAACACGACTCAAGAACACTGGTCCGGGAACAGGATCACGCACCACCTGTTCGTCAGGGTTTTACAGGAACATAGGGGAAAACTCGTGAGATTTTGATTTTTGAACAGCCGCAAAAATATCGAGATGGCTCACAAAGCCTGAAACAATGGGAAATTTTACAAAATTAACAATAATCATTTTCCATAGCAAAGAAATGAATGTTCCTTTTTAAATAAAAAAGAATTCTGAAGAACGTACATGGATGCCGCCATTATGTATGCAACAACCAGCAATATTCCCCGGTTGTACGTTCCCCGTGTGCGAGCGGCCGACTAACGAACAACAAATCGAGTGGTTCGTGAACGTACGAGAACAAGCCGCCCTAACTCAGCCATA